TATATATATTAATTTGACTTATTTATGTATTTAAGCTGGCTTCTTGTTGCAAATGCTAGCATTTTTGGGTTCTTTTCATTTTTTTATATTTCTAGAAATATAATCATAATTATAATTTTAAATTATAAAAGGCTAATAAATTAAATAAATAAGAATTGTATGTTGATGATGTTAAAATTTAATTTTTTTCAAAACCAAATTTTATTATAATATTTATCAACTAAATTAAAATTCGTTAAATATTTTTTTTTATTAATCTCCATTTTTATTTCGGTCAAAGTGCTTGACCGAAATAGGATGATTAGAAGACCACGAATACATGAATATTTTGGTTATTATAGTTGACCGAAATGTGTTATTAAAATAATATTTAAGTATTTCGATCAAATATATTGACCGAATATAAGTGTTTTTTTATTGATTTTTTCAACCTTATTTCGGTCAAACACCTTAACTGAAATGATTTTTATTTTGGTCAAAATAAAATTTTCTCCGAAATTGTATTTCGTACAGAGCATATTCGGTCCAACAATTCAGTCAAAATATTTAACCGAATTAATTGTTTTTCAATCAATATTTAACCTTTTTCAGTCAATAATGCTTGACCGAAATTGTGCCTTTTTCTAATAGTGTCTTAGAAATAGAAAAAAATGAATAAAAAATAAGTAAAAAAGAAATTTATAAAAAAACATAAATTTTTTATTTTTTATTTTTTACTATTTAAAATATTTTTAAAATTAAAAAAAATTTAAAAATATAAATTTTTTTAAAAAAATTTATATTTATTAAATATAAATAATATTAAAAAATTAAAACTCTTATAAATTCCACCATACAAGTTCAGAATAATTATCACTGACACGGTTTTCTCTTTCGGGTTATCCTTTGCCTTCTCCATATCCTCTGACTCTTCCTCTTCCTCTTGATTTTGCCTGCGACTGGATAGAGCAGCAACCTGCCAAAACCCTGGCGCTCCCTGGAGTTTTGCGGCGGAAAGAAGATTGCAGAGCGGAAGAGAAAATCGCCGGTGGCTTAGGTCGGATTATTGCCTGATTCATGTTTCCTGTCCTTTTATTTTTGAAGGTCAATTTATACCAAGTACGTTGATTTGGTCTTATCCCCAAAAAAACACGACACGTGGAATGTAATTGCCACGTGTAAATAACAAAAGCTTTGAGATGTTACGTGGCGGGGTTTTTGAGTTTGCGTGGTCTTGGTAGGTATTATTGGCTGCCACGTTATTGGGTAGGCCTTGATTTCCTAGATTAAATATATAGACATATATATGGCGGTTTTATAAGTGTTATTTTTTTAATATAATTTTTATATATTATTAAATAAATAAAT